GTTCGGGAGGCGCAACAACGGCCGCTGTGACATGCGGATGTGGTGCCGCGACCCGCTTGCAGAGGTCCGTGAGGGGTAAATTATCTTCCTCATCATCGTCGTTGGCGTCCTCTTCCATCGCCACCTCGATGGGGTCTCGCAAGGGTCGCTGTTGGACGTGCGCCTATAAAGGAAGATGCAGCTGGTGCAGGGCTTATATTCTTCGAGCATTATTACCAACAGAAGCGAGGGACTGTGGAATGACTATCTGTGGCTTGCTAACGATCATACCCGCAAAACGGGGGAGTCAGCCACGGCATCGATGACACTTACGCTTCTATTCATTCATACCTGTGTTTAAACCACTGCGCAACTGGTAGACGGTGAGTTCTCGTGACCAACTCACAACGTCATCGCTTCCTTCTGAACCTGTTTCATCCCACTCCAGCCTATGCAGTGTTGTGTGGGGGACAAATCGCCTACGCAGAACAGACTGCGCAACAAGGTCCCCCCCCCCACAAAGAGGACGGCACTCGCATTGTGATTCACGAATCTTGTGTGGACGTTGGCGCCCTGGGTTCAGGCATCCTCGTGGCTGTCTTCAAGAAGAGAGACAGGACGAAGTGCGAGAACTACCACGACAAAGGTCTCGTCGCCGAGGGGAGCAAAGAAATAAAAAGAGCTCTTTGCAAGAACTATGGAAATGCTAGAAGCACACAGACAGAAAAACGATATTTCCCGGTCTGTTGTGATAAAAACTGTCTTGTCAGTGAACACTAATGACATCTTATGTTTTCGACAGACTACCATGATGGAGGACGTTTTAAATGACGGAACCAAGTGGCTAACTACTGACTAAGGTGAATCAACGAATTTCACATAACGTGTTGCAGTCAATTATGTCAATCGAAGGGGCACGGGAACATTCCAGTAATGCTCGATACACATCTCCAATGATAGGCCTCATAAGTGCCTAGGTGTTGTTAAGACTAACTAACCACCAGCTAGGGGGGGGGGGGTGCGTGCTTGAACCAATAGCACGATTAGTCGTAGAGAGCTGCTCGTCACATTGTGCGTCAACGGGGCGGAATGACATAAGGGCGCCGACGTGATGCTGGCGCGCATGGGTCGCACTTGTTTACAACCGAATTCTCAGTGCCAATTAGTCCAGTGGAGAGCCACTCTGCGATTTAAGCATGTTAGACAAAGCAAAGTGTGGGGCAAACAATTCTTTGGACAAGTGGTCCGGCAGGCGGAGTAGAGTGACAGTAACGTAGTCACTGATACTGTCATTCATTTTTATGCGCACGTACTAGACGTGTCACGTGAAGAAACGCGTTCGTTTTGCTATCATTGTAACGTTCAGGAGATTGTAATTAAAGTACGACACCGGCTGTGTCATAACGCGTTTCCACGAACTTCTAGGGGCTGAGAACCATCATTTGGGGGAAGTCGACTGAAGACTGGGGCAGATTGATACAGGACTGGCTCAGGTTTATTCTGCCTCCAATCAGTCACTCATAACCCTGACCAACAGCTGGGGTTAGAACACAAATATAGAATCGAATAGGTTAATTATAGCACCTCCTGGGCACTGTTGGTTTCCTTTGAGCACAGGAAAAGGCCTAAACCAAACCCATCAATTTCAGCTGCACTTTGACTTCATTAGTTTTGGATGTCTGCTTAGTCAATAGAGCGCAAACCAACCGTACGCTGAAGCGACTTTAAAATGCTTTTTTAGATGACCACCATCCACTCGACTGGACTAAACGCGTATCGTGTGCCATGATGGCATACCGATATTTCGACCGTCGTTGCCGATGATTTTCACTGTTTGTTCCTCAGCAGGGTGAAGTAGGGGCGGAGGCTTGTGCGCAGCATCTGCCGCGCCCTCTCCTCCTCCTCCCCTACCTGGACCCCGTATCAAGACAGAGTCAAGAAGACCGGAGACGGGGAAGTGTGCGTGTTGGTGTGAAGTGGCCCTACTACGAACGCCTGTCTAAACACTGGGCTTCTCGCGATTTTCTGCACACGCACCCCATGGCTGTCTAGCATTCGCTCACGCGGCTTTCTAACCGACCAATCAGATTCAAGGCCGAATCCTGGCTTAAGACGCTGTGACGCATTCCCTCAAACATTTGGGATACCGCTCACCCGACGCCGGACATGCTCACTCCAGCTCCTCCAGTTATTCTGCACAGAATATATTACCACTCCCCATTGGCGTCCATCTTCTCTTCCTATTCAGGACCGGGCCTAAAGGTCGTGGTAGCCAGGGTCTTGCTCTCGGCCTAGCTTGCTGCGCTATTGATGACCCCGACGTGATATCAACACTCAACCGCACAATCATTACAAAATGCGCTCATTGATTTAGCTCAATTTTCCTGCGTCATCTGCTGTGACCACCATATGAAGAACCCAGTTACCGGCATCCTGTCATGGGCCCATCGAATTCAGGTCATGATTCCTATCCCACCCAACAAAGCAGTCTCTCAATCAGTGCCAGAATCCGGACGTCTTTCCCACTATCTACTATCTAACTTCGTCAAATACCAGCGGTATCCCCTTGCACAGTCCCACAAATACCAACCCGGCATACGGATTTGCCGTCGACGTGCAACTCAACAACTCCACCATCGTCTTTTTGAAGCCGCCCACGCTGCCGATAACAATGCCGTTGGTACTTTTCGCATTCACTCAGCCTGATTAACTATCCTTACCTCGTTCGGCTTT